CTCATCTTTCAGTCTATACTATATGCCCTCTAAATTTCATTGTCATTGCTCAAATATTCTATCAAATATTATATCAATCAATTCTCTGCATTCCTCCAAACAAAAAACACATTATGATCGTGACTGTACGCCAGCAGGATCCAATTCTTTAATTATGACTCGTACGGTCTCCTTCTGGACAACAAGACTGTAGTCAATTCTTAATCGCTGGTGCATTTGGCGATAACCAATACTTTTCCTGCATGGACAAATGCAACGGATTACCGGACATAAGTTGACCTAGCTAGATGACATTGATGTGATTGATGGTGTATGCTGCGACAGAACAAGCCCCACATATTGTTTGGAGGAATGCAGAGAATTGATTGACATAATTATGCAAGAACAACAATTGCAAGTACCTTCAACTGCTCTAGAAGCCCGTAACCTTTTCGTGGATCTAGTTTATCACATCGACAACAGTTAGTTTAGTTTTTGTATGATGTGTTTTTGCGAAGGGGAATAAATTCGGCACTCGAAAACCTAGCCTCATGTGTCCCCAATGCCACTCTCTCTGCGTGTACGAAGCCTTTCTGGCAAAAGAGGACCGACAGTTCTGGCGACAAATGTGTCAAAGTTACTGTGTATTCATTTCTGCGCGAAATAGAGGATATTAAAGCCTATGAGCATTGTGTAACTAGTAGTGTACACGAAGTAATTTTACCCTATTCGGCCCGGGCTTTTTTTTTATGGCTTTTCAGACCGGGGAGGGAAGCGAATTCCGCCCCCTTCAACTCCGTAACTTCCAGAATATTTGAGCAATGACAGTGGAATTTTAGAGGGTATGTAGTATAGACTGGAGGATAAGCAAACTGATGAAAGTTTATTTCAAGGTTTTAGTGTAACACAACAGTACAAGTCATGCAATCATAAACAAGTTATCACAAAATATAAATAAATAATACAAATTTCCACGGGCTCGCATCGCGGTCTATTAGATGAAAATTAGACTGAATATATAGCTAACCAATACTTTTTTTAAAGCAGGCTAATTTCATTATCTATAAACGCTTTTCAAACCTGGCAACAACACTCCTGTCGACACATCTGCCCTCTAGAATTTTGCAAACCTGCAATGTAATAAGGAAGATTAGATAATCCACTCTCGTTCTCAGACACTGACAGCCATCCCTGAAAGCGTCTCTAAGATTTCGCAAAATCAAGGTTTACTGTACCGATTCACAGAGCTATGTGTCAAAGTATTACAACGTACTGGTAAATGATCTTTTTACGTAAATAAAACGAACTGTTGATCTCAAAACATACCCCCTCATGCCTCAACAGTGGCAGCCATTGTCGTCCACGGTTACATCGTGCGTGACAGCCGATTACGTGACCTAACAAGTTTCCCATTTATAGCACGATAAATTATAAATTATCGCGCAATAATAAATATTATCGTGCGATAATAATGTAAATTATCACGCGATGTTAATGCGCGATAATAAAAATTATCGCGCGATAAATGGAGATCTTCGCGAGATAAATGGAAATTATCGTGCGATAAATGATAAACTATCGAGCGATAAATGGAAATTATCGCGCGATAAATGGAAATTATCGCGCGATAAATGGAAAATATCGCGCGATAAACGGAAGTTATCGCGCGATAAATGGAAATTATCGCGCGATGAATGATAAATTATCGCGCGATAAAGGAAAAATTGCAGTAAATGGCTTGAACCGGGAGTAACATGTGAAGGTGTAGTCTGATTGTCCGGGTGAGTGTAGTCCTGAGAAGGACTGTTGTCGGTGGTAGTGGCTGACGTTTCGACAACCTGTGCGGAAGTCATCATCAAAGTCAAGTAAATGATTGTTGTCAGTAGAATGTTCTTACTCCAGTTCGTGTGAAATGATCGGTTGTTTCTGCCGTGATGTTATTGGCTGTATTGACTCAAGTGACGTAAGTCGGTCGTGATTGGTCTGTTTCGATCTGTCGGTAAAGTTAGGTCGTTCTTTTTCGGTCGTTTGCGATGTTTATGTCGTGGATGAGTCGTTTGTATGGAGCGGGTACCTGTTGACATCTGTTTAGGGGAGTCTGTTCTAAGTTAGTAAACCAGCTTTCCAGAGTCAGTCGTTGAAAATAGTCAGTGCTGTAGGTTAGGCATTGCGCAGAGTCCCAGTCAATGTTGTGGTTGGTAAGTCGATGGTGTTCAGCAATGTGATTGCTGACATCACCTTTCCTCGTCGCCCGTCTGTGTTCAGTCAGTCTTGTTGTGAGGTTTCTGCCAGTCTCACCGATGTAGGAGGCTTGGCAGTCGGAACAATTGATCTTATAAATCGTTCCCTGTCTGTTCCTCGGTTCGTCTTTGTCTTTAACGTTGGTTAGTAACTGACGTAGTGTGGTGATGGGTTTGTGGGCGACGCGGATATTGAAGGGTAGTAAGATGCGCGAGATGTTTTCAGACATGCCTTTTATGTACGGTATGGTTGCTGTAGTCGTAGGGGTTGCGGTGTCGTTTGTTTCGGTAGTGGTAGTGGGTCGGTGAGTGTTTCGTCGGATGAAGTCGTTGTTGTAGTTGTTCTTCGTAAAAACACGGTGAAGGTATTTGTTCTCGTCGGATAAGCTGTCTGTCGAGTCACATACTAGTTGTGCGCGTCGTGTTAGAGTTCTGATAGTTGTGGCTTTGTGTGATGTAGGGTTGTAGGATGACTCGTCTAGTAATCTGTCGGTGTGTGTCGGTTTCCTGTAAACTGTCGTTCGTAATGAGTTGTCGTTGTGGCTTACCAGGCAGTCTAGAAAAGGAAGTTTGCCATTTTCTTCGACTTCTCTGGTAAACTGTATGTCAGTGTTTTGTTCGTTAAGGTGGTTGTGGAATGCGTCAATTTCGTCGTGTCGAACGGCGGTGAATGTGTCGTCAACGTAACGTAACCAAAGCGGTATCGTTTGTCGGCAAGTCGAAAGGGCGCGTTCCTCGATGTTCTGCATCAC